GGGTGATGACCTAAACCCAGCCTGGGCCTGAGTGGGCCAGACCTGCCCTGACTGGGGGCAGGGTGGTTGAGGACGGCACGAGTTCCGCTGGTTGGCTGAGGACTACTAAGGGCTCCAGACTGCGGGACATAGGACCCAACCAGGCACCTGCTTTTTGGTAGGAACTTGTCTGCCACACAGACTCTGAGTCCAGCTGGGAAATCCTTGCTTGCCTCCTATCCTAGACTGGCCAGGTTTCCACCAGTGCCCGCTGTCCCAGTCCCAGAGGTCTGGAGGTGGTGGCTGGATGTTCAGTCATGCCACAAGCCTCATGATACACACCAGGCTTCCACAGACTCGAATTCTTAGACCCTAGAGAAGCCCACACTACCATGCCAGACACACCTTCCCAAGGGACCCACAGGACTCCATAGAGGGGGACACCATGGACAGAGGGAGCTGCCATCACTCAGTCACATTCCCACCCCCAGGAAGCACTTCCACAGACATTGCAGCCCAGGGGCGGGGCTCTGAGTTGATTGTGGATTGGGGCCGGGGGTTAGGGAGCACAAAATTCCTGGCAATCTTGCTGGCTGGGAAGGAAAGTCTGGGAGGAGAACAGGACAGACAGGGAAGAGGAACAAGTCCTTTAGAGAGAGGCCTCGGGTGGTGGGAAACTTGGGTTTTACCAATTTAACAAAACCATTTTGAAAGTGCCACTGTATAGACAGGAACTAAGTGTAAATGGTTCAGGGCCTTCCTCCCAAGACTGCTCTTGGAGCCTCCCCACTCACCTGCCCCGGGGCTGTGGCTGACACCTTCAAAGGGCTTAAGAGAAAGGCATCCCCCAGGGAACCGAAGACCCGCCCCTAATAGACTTTTCTGGGCCCTTGGGCTGGGAGTGCAGTCCGCGGTGCATTTCTGGATACGCTTGTATGTTTGCTCGAATTCATTATCCTATGCTATGTGTATCTGAATATGTATATCGCATATACTCCTATATTTGTGTGTAACATACGTGTGTACACGTTTAAATGTGTACGTATGTGAATGTGGACTGTGCTCCTATGAATGTGTTTGTAAATTCCTAGGTGTGATGTATGTGCACGAGTGAGTGTTGGGAGAGATGTTTCTAAATTGGACAAAGTGGGGAGTGGGCAGTGGATGGATTAATTTAGGAACTTGGGAAAACGGGGTGGCCACAGGTTTGCAGCTGGCCTGGAAACTCCAAGGACACCGGGCTCCAGCCGTCTGCGCTGAAAGATCTGGGAAGTGAGGCGTCTAAGTTCCCCTAAAGACGCAGGCTCCAGCTCTGCCACTTCTGGTCTCTGAGCTCGGTTTAGAGGAGCAAAGCAACACACACATACGGCCTCTGCAGAGAAGTCGAAGCCCCTCCGGCCGCCCCCAGCGCGGGAGTTGAGGCCAGGGGAGAACGCCCGATGGGGCCGCCCTGCAGGCGCCCCCCGGCGCGCAGGAGACACCGTCGAACCGGAACGCCGGGCGCGCCAGAGGCGGCTGGCGCGGGAGACCCGAGACCGGGCCCCTTCGCGCCCCTCCCGGGCGGGCCCCTCGCCGCTGCTTGCGGAGGAGCCCGGAGTCGGGAGGCCCGGG